TCGAAATAAATGCGATTGAACGCCATTGACAAGTTGTTCTTTTTGAGGGTGAATTGTTGTTGATGTCGTCATTCAGGAAAATCCTCTCGTCATGATATGTTGATGCGATCGAAAGAAGAAAGTGTTAAGGCCAACTTCGAACAGTATGGCACGGACCGATATTATTTAAGCGGTATCCTGGCCGATGCTTGCTGGCATGATTTGTGGGCAAGGCCTGTCTTCAACGCTATTGTTACAGATCGTACGTTTCTAACTTGATGCTGTACAATAAACGCATTAAAGGCAGTGGGCACGATGACGGGGGACCGGCGATGCTGCTAACGTCATTGGTAGAAGGGCTGAGTGAGGTGTGGGCAAACGCCATCTCGCAGTCCTTCCACCAGTGACGCTAACCGCCCTCCACAGCCATCGTGCCCACTGTGGCGACAAGGCGACTTTTCATATGTCTGCCGCGTGGGACAAGGCACTTTTCTCTTTTTTTTTTCAAAAAATACGCATAGATGCTAGGGCACTTATACACCAAAACTATGGGAAGAGGACTAGAACTCGATACGGAAGGTGGGAAGGCTCCGTTGACTTGATCGAACTCTACTTCGCTGCGGACGGTTGGGCGTGTCAGGCAGTATGAGTGTGTCACGCCGTCAAAGCCGTTCTCTGCCTTCTTGTTGAAGCGCGCATGCGACAAAAAGTGGTAGAAAACGAGTAATACGAACGATATGATACAGTCTTATCACTTGCTCGCTTCAACAACTGGTGGAGAACGGGTTTGGCACCGCGCTCAAACTCATCCACACCCAGCCGTCCGCAGCGAACTACACTATACCTTCGATATAAGCCACAAATGTTCATAGAATACTCCCCACCTCGTCTACGTGGAAAGTGGAAGCAAGCTCACAAAACGTCATAAATTATTAGGGTGTCCACAAAGTTCGTTGGCCATTCGTTTTTTCAGAGCTGGTAAAGATATCTCACCAAGTTGAACTTACCGGTCCATGATATAATCTCCATGCATACCCACTACCTTTCGCCAACGATCGGGTAGAGAGGCAACTCCATCCTCCCAAAAGCTGGCCGGCCGCGACTCGGCCCAGTCCTCGATCACGTCCTCGAGGTCGCGCTCGTTCTTCAGCTGTTTTCCGTCCAAGAAATTTTGCATGGACCGGAAGATGTGGTAATCGCATGGACTGATGTCCGGGCTATACGGTGGATGCGTGATCGTCTTGATGCCCAGCCTGTCCAGGACGGCCTGAGTATCTCTCGCTTTGTGGGGGCGCGTTGTCTCAGAGCAACCACGGATTTGCAAGTTTCTGGGACAAGGCGGCAGTCACCTTGACCTCCTGCAATTCTTAGACGAGGTCTCTTCGCGTCACTGTGGCATTGTTGGGTAGGGTGCTATAGTGGAGCGAGAGAACCAGAAACCTCGGCATATCTTCGATGCCATAGTTTCCATTGGTGAAGCGAGTCCACCATTTTGACATCCAGTTCTTAGAAGGGGTGTTATCACCAAACTGCTGACGCATCCTGGTCGTGGCCTGACGTCTGGAGATGCCCAGGTTGTAGTAGTCCAGCAAACATCGCGGTGGTGGTGACTATCACTCATCTTCACTGCTATTTTTTGGGAAGAGCAGGGAAGGAAATTTAGAGCTAGCTAGCTCAGAAGATAGCCCATCGCGAGTACTTTCAGTATTGCGAAATCATTATGCAAAATCACAACGCGTTGCGTAACGCGACGCTGTTTACAAATGGCCAACGAACTTTGTGGACACCCTAATAGCTCCAGGACCCGTAAAGGAGAATCATTCTAGATCTCCTATTGTCGAAAGCTACAACGTCACGTTATCTACACCTAAACTTCTCTACATATGGGGCATTAGCTCTATATTTCCGAAAATTACCTTTTCCTTCCAGGGAGATTACATCCTTGTATCTCTTAGGTTAGGTAAGTTATCCTTGCTGATACAGCTGAATAGGTTACACGCACCACATATTATGCACTACCTTTCTGGACGACGTGTGGTTTTTAGAACTTTGAAATGTATTGAAAAATACTTCTTCACACATGCTGCATCCGAACATTGGCACGCAATGTCCCACGCGGCAAAAAAGTTGCGTCACATTGCCATTTGCGTCCCAGCAATGGGACGCAAATGGCAATCTTGTGGATCCGTCATTCGCATGTTTCTTTTGTCATTTATGGGCTCTAATGTACATATTCGAGGTTGTTTATAGCGCCCTACGGTATACGTGAAAAAGGACGCAAGATTGGAAAGAAGCCAAGAAAGGAACACTGGACTTTGGACGGCAGTGAACAGTGGGTATCTATGGTAGAATGAGGTCAATTCATGTGGTTAAATTGCTGAATTTAGTGAGTACCATTTCCCGGAAAAACAGCCGTACTCCTTGGAGAAGACATTCACTGATTTATGTGATCTCGCTGCCAAGACACTTCTTATTGGAGGAAAACTGTCCTTCTGGTTTCCTGTCATTCTTGAAAGGTAGGAAATCTCCTGTATCTCGTGGACATTAAAAGGAATAGATCTAAACCAGTAGCATAAGTCTGCAGTTTGACACCTTGAAATAGATAGGTACTCTCATTTGAAACTTTTCTCCCTTCTAAGAGTGGGCAGGAGCTTCCTCTTTGCTTCACACTTACTCAAAGGCACGTCCCGGATAGCCCTTCCCTGAATAAGGGGGAACGGTCCGCAAGTAATGAACATTAGCACTTTCGTGGATGGAAAGGATGCGTGGTAGATGCATCTACTCACGACTAAGGCAAGGTCCCGCCCGTGCCTCACACCACGCCCAACACTCACTTCTAACGGCTACCTGATGATGCGGTTGTTCCGCAATTAGTTGTTCCCTTCTGAATGGCGAGTGTGATAAGGATAAAGAGCTGAACAAGTGACAACTCGCAGAGCGCAGCCTTTCAATGTTCGTACATGCATTGGTCGAGGTAAGTCACTTTTGCAATATGGACTTGGACGGTTTCTTCCTACAGTTCCTTCATGACGTACCATCGAGCTTACTAATATGAATCTAGGGACCTTTAAGAAATTATGAAGTGGTTCAAGTAAACTAGATGTGAACTTGTTCAGTTACTCAGAAGAATGTCTCCCCGTTCATCCGGCTCTGCGCCTTGTCGCAAACTGTGAGCAACGGCTTTCTCGGAAGACTAGCAGGTAAATTCTAGCAATGCTTCTATGAGTTTTGTAGCCATTTTGGTCCCTTAGGTAATTGTCTAGTAGATAGGTAAAAATGCAATGCTTTCTGCTGAGGTACTCATACAGCAACTAAGCGATATGTTTCCATTGGCCGGGGGGGGGGGGTAAGAGAGTGGCGTGCCTAAAACATGAAATCCAGGAAGAGTTGCCAGATCAATTACATCCTTCATACAACCTACCCTTTTTTGGCAGCGTGGCAAATCTCCGTCGGTCAGGTCGTCCAGGTACCCATGCACACCCAGTTTTTGCCGTGCAGCCATTAGCATGATGCGAACCATTTTTTTCAATATATTAATTAGGGACTACGATTCATCAATGAACTATGTTTTATGAACTTTTCATTGAGATGATGCTATAGAGCCTTTTAAAACTGGAGCTTTGAGAAAGCTTCATCTTTTCCAGGTCATAGGTCCAGAAGTCTGTTTTGGCCAATACCATTAGATTAGAGTTATTTAGACACTCGGTCGAGTAATACGATGCCAAAGGACCAGAAAGGCATAGATGGAAATGTTCACCGTCCCACTGAGGATGTACCGCTTGCGGGTTGGTAGGGACCTGACCCCTCGGGAGGCTTGCACGCACCCCCCCCCCCTCCCCCCGCCCTGAGTTATAGAATTCTCAAATCCCTAACGATGGTGTGCTCTGTTAGCCGCCGTCACGAATTCTTATTGTTGCACTTTACGCTTTGATAGTTTCAACATTTGCAGGCGACTATTAGTGTACCAGAAATTTCGTGAGCCAGAGTCAGGGGAACAGTCCTGGTATCCTGCAAATCAATATGAGAATAAAAGTTTCCGGGATATCACCTTTGAACCGAAACGGATATTTTAGTACAAAGTGGAGTTGTTATTTTGTTATCTGTTGTTGTTGATTGTATAAATTTTGCCTCTATCATGTTATGGATGAAAAATGTGGTATCTGATGTGAACGCCGCTAAATTGATTCACCCTCCACGAAGCTTTCCCACTGCGCTCCGGCAAGAATGCGCTGAGATATGGGTAAAAGCGGAACCTGGGAGGGGGCTCGAATCCGTATCTCCCGCATACCAGGCGGTTGCGTTATCCATTCCGCTACCGTGGCCACACTACCCTCTCAGCTCAATAGCTTATTTTGTGCCATTGCCTTCGAGCACTCATACGTTGAACGTGAGCAGGTTAGCCATTATCGGCAGTGACCCGAAGATAGCTTCCCCCATCGCAGTGACCGAGACTTTTATGTTTGAAGTTGTTTTTTATTTTTAGATTACCATATAAGCAACACAACAACAAAAAACCCATCAAGTTCTTTAATAACGATACCTCTCATAATTATCAGCACATGTAAAGCTTTGGCTCGCGGTTCTGTGCGTACCGGGCTAACGACTACGTGTTGAAAGTGCAGAGCATGCTCGAAAAAGTCATGGCACAAAGACAGCCGTTTGAGAGGAGGGTAAGAAGACGCTAAACTGCATTATATTTCAAAGGCACTTCGAAAACTGCGTAGTGCGCATCGCCGTGTTGCTGGAATGAGAAAGGGTGATCGCAAGGATTCTTCGGCACTGCACCTGCTGTTACTCCAACTAGTGTTGAAGCCAGTAAGTGACTGCGTGTGAAAACGGACATGATAAGAACGTTGTGGTAAGTCACCGCTAAGGCTCAGTCGTATGCACATTTAAAATACCATCTCTCTCGCCTATGCGACGAAGTTCATTCCTTAACTCGATGAACCTTCCTCCCTCGTCGTGGGCGCTGAGCCGGACCTATTCAGACGAGAGTCTGCTCGATTGATGGCCAACACCGAGATTCCATCCGCTTCACATAAACCCGGTTTCGCGGAATATACGTTTATGAGGATATCAGCAGGTGCGCCGCATGGGTTTAATATCAGGCTAAACAAGCTAGTAGGGCGCCTGCTATAGTCTGGACGGAGTCAAAACGGTCAAAATCCTGCGAAGAAAAAGTTCTCAGTGACTTGTAAATCGATTTCGGACGAGTTTCCCGTAGGCATCTTACCAATCACCGCTACCGAAGATACGGCTGCATATGTGTACCCATGTATGCATGCAGCATCACGGCCGCTTCATACCAATCCCTTCGCTTCATAATTTGCTTAGCAAATGAATGAATACGAGCGTCAGGAACGGTCGTCCATTTGTGGGCGGGCGGGCGTTTGGGACGTAAAGTTGTGGCTTGATAGGGCCCTTATAAGGGCACCTTCCTCGGGGAAACCGCTATGCAGCGCCTGCCCAGGGTCGCGGAATTCTATCCTGCCAGGAGTATTGATCCTAGTCGTCGGGGATTTATCGTGCCAACTGCCTTTAAGTCTCCAAGTGAGTGTTCTAATAATGACACAGGAGTCGAGTTTTTGAGCTGCTCAGAATTTCGCCCATTAAGAACCCATCTAAAAAATCTTCCGAACTACCGGGTATTCAGGGGAGCTGTGGAGCTCCTTGGCTCTTTTTAACGAGGAAATATTGCGTTTCGTAGAGATGTTCTCGGCTTTGCAAGAGATGCGTGTGAAAGAAGTTGTTGTAGTCCGAGGCATAAAGCATAAATACTCTCGTACTAAGTCTCGGGCTCTTCAGACCCGAAAACAAGGAAAAGTTCCACAGTGTTATTGGTGGGATTTCAAAAGACGTCTTGGATTCATTCAGAAAAGCTCTAATCCTCTTCTACATTCCAACAACGCGCATTCGT